GACTTCAGTACCACATATTTTAAACGATTTCTTACTGTTCTGGTTGACAGATTACGACCAGGTAACCAATGCCCTTTTCGTCTGACCAATCTACCAAGGCTCCTATCTTCACGTTGGGTTGTTCCAGATCGAGGACGGTCCTTAACATTCTGGGTGGCAACATGTTTTCTGACCAAACGGCTGATCACTGTGTAATGATAGCCAAGCTGTCTACCTATCGCCTTGTAGGACATACCAGCGGAATTCATGCCAATAATTTGCCATCTCTGCGCCTCTGATATCTGTCTTCTTGCCATTCTTACTTAAAATGATTTTGCATTCAGAAATTCGGGACTTAAATACGGATTTGATGCACGAGAAAATAGTGCATATTGGACGTGAAGAAGGGAGCAAGTTGTACGTGGAGAAAAAACGCGCCTGATTTAAATGTCACACCTGAATGCTCACATCCTTTTAATTATGTTTGAAATTATGAACATTGCTCAACATCATGAAAATTAAACCTTATTTTCAATAAGCAATCCTGAAAAATATTTGGGGGTGCTTAACTTTTTTCCAGGTGTATAGTTAACAGTCTTTCACTTCCACAATAAAAAAATACTTAACCACCAATACAATGGAAAGTTACACACTAGGGATAAGAGTTTAAGTCAACTTACACATGACTTCTTGCCAAAAAATATACAACACGAGTGTACTTTTTTTTTAACTGTTAATAAAAGGTTTGTTATTTTACTTTAGCCAAGTTCAGAGTTTTATAAAGCTATACCTGAGAAAAATAATAGTCAAATTCCCTAAAACACATACTATAACTCTGAACATACCATGTGTCTCAAAGAAATTTTGGAAACTTTTAGCAAGAATTACAAGTTTGTTATACAAAATAAACCAGATTTTTAATGAAGTATTTCTGCTAAACATTTGTCTGCAAGTTTCCAAAACCTTTACGGAGTCAGTCTAAGTGAAAGTTGATTTTCCATACTAACAATAAAAATGCTTCTCATATTTCATTTGCACAACCTCTAGAGCTCCCTAAATGAATACGTTTTATTATTATTTTCTCTATCCTAACACTAACTGTAAAGAAATCATTAATGTATAGTGAAAAATTTTAACAACATTTTACCTTCTGTACTGGCTGCAGTATTTATCAGAACGTTCCATATTTCTAGACTTAACTGTTAACCTTTTTCACAATTTTTTTTTATTTTGTTTTTATTGCTGTTCTCTTTACCACTGGAGCAGTAATCCTACAGCCAAGAACAATAAATCACATGGGTAGCTCATTAACTGTTTCCGATATAGCTAGTATAAACAGTGATCTAGTGTTGTATTTAGCACTGGTACTCGAGCTACTACAACTTTAGATGTTTTATCTTCCTTAATGTTTTGTCAGGTAAAGATAAGTTTTTAAATTTTAGTTACTTTTGTTAAAAAGTATATAAAAATATACATAAGAAATAAAGATTTCTTGTCTTCACTGGATACTCAAGCTGTTTGCCCTCAAGTAAAAATATGACATTTTCCCCAAGTCTCACAAACTTGGGTGTCCAAAAAAAACAAAAAAAAAATATTTTACAGCATAAAAATATATCAGCACTATAGCAGAATGCCCAAAAACTATTATAATTTATCCAGCTTTCTAAAGATGTTTAATAAAATTCTGTTACTGTTCAAAGCACGTGTCTGATCAACAAGGAAGTTTAACCAGCTAAAGGATACTTACAGGAAAACTAAACTAAGATTTACCCTGAGGAGAATCTGCTTTTTCTATTGGTTATAAATATGTCAGCAATATAAAGTTGATTAGCAAACAATCTCAAAATTCAGACAGAGAGGGAATATCAGTTACTCTTGTTTAAAAAATTGATTGATGTTTCAGCAAATAAAGAAGGTAGGGAGTTCAAATTTTAGATTATAGTTTGTCTTTCTGATTGATTGGAAATCAGGACTCAGATGATTCATGTTACACTGAAAAATTAAGTCTGAGATTTTTTTTAAATATTTCTTTTTTTAAAATAAGAAGTTAAAATTTAGATAATATAAAAATCGGAATTCATGCAAAGTTTATTGATATACACTGATAATAAAATTGTTTAGTTAAATTTTCAATGTAACACTAATGGATCATGACTTGCACACTTTCACCAGGTCATATGGAAATAGTTAAATGATGTTAATACTAGAACCCCTAAGTAAATACACAGCACTCATAAAATAAGTAAATACACAGCACTCATAAAATAAGAAAAATGTAATTCTAATACTTCATCTTTGGCAATACTGATGTTGAAAAATAACTGATAGGACAAGAAACAATAAATGCAGTATGTCTTTCTGATGTCTTGAGTAAAAAATGCACTATACTGAAGTACTAGAAATAATATTTGCTTTTAATAAAGCATGTTCTATCCATTTTAGGTATACTAATTACCTTCACCATCGAAGTTGTATGGAGGTTATATTTTCATCCATTTGTGTTTGTGTATTTGTCAGCAAAATTTCTCGAAAACAGCTGAATGGATTAGGATGAAAGTTGGTATACATTTGGACTACAACCATCTTAAAATAGATTAGTTTTTGGAGTGTCAGAGGTCCAGGTCACGATAATGCAAAACATCCCTGTTTGTTAACATGGGGATCGATTTTTCACACTATTTTTGCTCTATAAGTCAGTCCAAAATTATCGAGTTTTGATGACACTTGGTGGACGTATGTAGAATATTATACCTCATTGTCCTGCCAGAACTGGTCCATGTCTGTTGATAATGACAGACATACTGACACATTTTTGTATTTTTTGACAGCCAAATTTGATCAATGCTTCGTGACAGAGGTATGTACTCTACTGAGTGCCCCTCTAGTTATAATAAGCAATATTACTAAATAGCACATCATGCATTAAAAAGAGAGGGAATAAAAAATTAGAAAAGTATCAAATGAGTTTCTTAGCTTTTCAGTTCATGTAGCAGAAGGTGGAGAGGATAAACTGCATACACATAACAGCATTTCATGAAAAACTATATATTCTCAATATTTTATTAATTAGCTGGAATTGATGATATTAAACAACAGTTTTCATTCTCTTGTTTATTTTCACTAGATGTTGAACTAATGGATTACATATTATATATTTAGTTAACATTAAATGTGCCTTATAAGAAGCTATTTTTGTACAAATGAATACCTCCTTTCAAAAGGGGGAATATACACTTTTGTCTTGATACAATGCAACTTATTTTAGTTCAATTCTCATTAAAACACAAGGTTGTGAATCTAATTTTTTTTTCAATAAAAAAAT